AAGAAGTGTCGCATCCGCCCAGCTTCGAGTGGGTCGTGATTGGCCCCAATCGCGGAAAATATAAATCCAACCGACAAGCCAACGCGAAAGCCCAGGACTAGACCTTGCATTTAGCCTCGTCGAGGATTGCTGAGGTCCAAAAATAATCATAGATAGCGGATATTTCGACGTTAACAGCAGGTCTTATATCGCCTGTAGATTACTCTCATCTCTCATTACGGTTCCCCGAAGCTACGGCATGCGCATAACGGCCTGTCCAGGGTCTCGGGATTCATGTCCTTTCCCGGCGGGCCCTGCCGTTTCGTTGATTCAGCTGTCATTGTCGAGCTCCGTGATTAATGCCAACCCTGACGAAATCATCTGCGAACAGATGGAGACGTATCCTGGAGCTGCGGTGCGAGCAATTCGCGTTGTTGTTGTCGTAAAATGTTGAGCTGTTGAGCGCCGAGTCAGCCGCTTGGCCAGGACCCGAATATCACGACAGGCCTGCGGGCGGGATCTACGAACCGGTGCTCAGGACACGTTGTGCCAAAAGTAGTCGCTACAAGGGACCCTCGCTGGCCTCTCCGTTTCCCCTGTGGTCCTTGCATACTTGCCCGTCGCTGGTCCCATTGTCGATTTGCGACTGGGTGCGGGCCGAGCAGCTCCCTGGCTGGTCTCAGTGCCCAACAGGTCTCCTCGGAGTCCAACTCAAACCTGATAATGATATACCTCTCGTGTGCCTCTTGGTACTCCACTCCGCGAATGCGGCTCAGGCTCGCCTCCCAGGCAACCTGCAGCGTCTCGTGATGTAGGGCAAGCGAGCCCTGTAGGATTCGCTCACCCCTCGACATACCTAGGTAGTTTGATCAGGCCCGCAACGGAGCGAGAAATTTCCGTCCGGTAAAGTGCTCTATCAATACCCAAGAGCCGTTTACCGATATATGGAATGTGACTACGCATACATCCACCCGAATAGCCATGGCCCACAGCCCAGACTGCGCCTCTCCGAAGAAGCCACGCCGCAGCCGTTGGTGCGCAAATGGCTGGTTCAGGCGGATGATTTTCATCGAAACCCACAAGGAGCTTCGCAGCGAGATTGGTTTCGTCCGATTTGAGCCCTCTCGAATATCAAAAAGCCGTTGACGTGAAACAATGTTCCTGATGCTGTGCCCTGCGTGACGCAGCACGGCGACCGGATCTCCGGGCGCAAAAAAAAGGAAGCGGCTATCCTCAACACGCCACGCATCCCACCATCGCATGGCAAAACGCGCTCATGTGCGACCATGCAGAAAAACAACTGTGGCGGCTTCTGGAAAGTCGTCGGGTAAGCCGCAGGTGCGCGCGTGCAGAAGGATTATTGAAGTCTGGCGGCGTTGGCACTAAACAGGGCTGGTGCACCCTTACATTGCGATGAGTGGGGAACACTCGTCCCGGCTCACAGAAATCTCCTCAAGCAATGACGTGCCTCTACAGGGAGCATTGGCTGTCTACCCGAAGAGGCCCCTATCCCTGCTTCGGACCTTAATCTCAATGGCGTGAGATTCGAGGCGCTCACCCAATACGCGGACTATACGCGATCGCCTGTCAGTGTCAACACTACCCGACGTCAATAGACGCCGGCAACTCTATCCCAGCCGACAGCGTGTGCATAGTTTCTAGCTACGGACTGACTTGCAGCTTGTCAGTCCCGATTCGAACAAACTGGTGGTAGCCATAAAGCCAGCAAATAAACCTTGATCGAGTCGATACAAAAAGGGACTGCGTCGCACTGGATACTCGTATGTTAACCTTTGAATCTCGTCGACCACGACGATGCGCACAAAAGGCCACTATCGAGTCAATACGCGCGCTGTCCGAGGAGGGCAGGATGCTCGCCCACTGCCATGTCGCAGGGCCCCCCGATAAACTTTCGCCAATCCGCACCTATGTGGCACAGCAAAGCAATGACAGTCGTCCAACATCGAGCGTTACACAGAACCGACGGGGACGCGGGCTCTGGAGAAGCAAACATGGCCTGACCTTGCGGGTCACAACGGCCTTTCTTCGCACAAATATCGAGATCTGGCCAATTGCTAAATCTAACTCGATTTCTTTTAGTCGCCACGTCGTACAGCTGTCAAATCGGATTGTTTTCACCTCGGTCCGCGAAAAATAATGGATGACACGGAATTTAGTTCACTGACACGTGCCTGAGAAAACTTCATAGTCGATTCATGTCGCTGGGCATAAGGCCCGGGTATTGATTCAATGAACTCAAAACTTCCGCTTTTTGGACGGACGAGCATTCTTTGCTCGGCGATTTTCCTGGACCTTGCGGTTCTTGCGAACAGCATCCACATCTCGAAGTTCGCTCTTGGCGCCACCATCCTTCCATGCACCGACGCGCTTCTCTTTCGCTTCAGCCACCCTCTTTTTCTGGACGTGATAATCATCACGGTACCGATCAGCCTGCTTCGGAGCCTTCTCGGCCTTGTGCTTGTAGCGCGGGGCGTTATTGAAGGATGATGCAGACCTGTTGGGGGCTTCCATTTCGCCCACGCGAGGCATCTTGACCTTGTTCGCCTTGCGCCAGTCGTCGAAGCGACCACTGCGGAAACTGGCCGCGATCTTCTGCCCACTTTCTCCAACAATCATCTTCGCACCCTTAGATCCATCCTCATCGTTGGTGCGGTTCACGTATTTCTTCGACTTTTTGTCCCAACGCATCTTGGATTTGGCAGCATCTGCGAAGCCTTGGATTTCATCGTTGACAAGTGACATCTCCGCCGCCCTTGCTGCAGTGACGAAGTTCGAGTTACCAGCGTCTCCTCCACTGACTCCGTAGGCCTTTTCCTCTGCCATATTCTCCTTGGGAAGGTATGACATGAAATAGTCGTCATTCTTCCAGCTGTCTTGTTTTGACTTCTTAGAAGATGGTTGTGAGACGGACACCTCCAGTCCATCAGAATCTGAGTCGTATACGCCATCAGCAACTTCAACTTCGTCTTCTGATGCTTCTTCGTTGCTATTCGATTCCCGTGAAGGTGCCTGAAGTGAGTCGATATCGTCTCCAGCAGCCAGTTTGTTGGCCGCTTGCTTGGCTTTCTGTCGTCCAACTTGTTCACGCCTCTTGCGCATAATCTCGGCTGTCTCGCTCTGGACACCTCGCTTGCCGATTTCAAATACAGTCTCTGCGGGTCGGAATGATTGGATTCTCGCAAGCATATCTTCTTTCGCTTTTTGAGTATTGTGTGCATCGTCGCTGAAGAGCATATGCGTCTCTGCAAAGTTTGGAGATGCCACCAACTCCTTAGCTCGTGCTACACTTTGTGCACTTGCCTGGTTGCGTGTCCGTTGGTATTGGCGTTCACCCTTTTCGGCCACACTTAGGAGTAGCGCTAGGTCCTCATCATCGGTGAGCTGTTTGTTCACAAGCTCAACGGAAGACTCCAACTGCCATGGTGCCAGGCTTCCGACAACAAAGTCTTCTGCGTAGTTTGGGTCCTCGGTCGACCTTCCGACCAGCAGTCTTTTTCCGAGGAAAAGCTGCAAGTCTATCAAATAGGGTAGATCGACATGCCTGCATAAACTGTAGGCCCATCCCTTCCGTCCAGCTCGGGCTGTTCGTCCCACTCGGTGTACGAAGATCTTGGGCTGGGAAGGGAAGTCATAGTTGATGACGTGGTTGATATGGGGCATGTCCACACCACGGGCAGCAACGTCGGTCACGACTAGTATACGGGTCAGGCCCATGCGGAAGTCCTGGATCTGCTCTTTGCGAGCTGTTTGGTCAAGGTTGCCGTACACTTTTAAAGTTAGTGATATCACAATGCAACAGCACATGATTACATACCGTAAGATACGGCATATCCTGCACCGCGAAGAAGATTGGCCAGGTACTCAACCCTATGTTTCGTTGCCGCGAAGATGATGGTAGACTCAGCGACCGGGACATCTTTGACGAAGCCGTCGCTGCGCTTCCGCTTTTTGCTGTTGGCAGCTTTTGCAGCATCTTCTTTGGCCTTCTTTGCTGCGTCGGTCTCGCCTACAGGAACCTTGATGACGTTATCGAGGAGATGCAGCAGCGCGCCATCTCGATCACCCGACTTGATTGTGAAGTAAGCACTCTTGAGGTCTGGTGAAATTTTGCTCTCAGCGTCGAGACGGATAAGCTTTGGCTCTTGTAGACCAGCTCTTGCAAACTCCACGAGCGATTTCGGCAATGTGGCACTGAAGAGCAGTGTCTGTCTAGAAGCCGGAAGGGCGTGCAGGATCTCAGATAGTTGCGCTGCGAAACCCATTTCGAAAAGGCGGTCGGCTTCGTCGAATACAATGTACTTGACGGAGGACAGGTCGAGACCCATCTCGACCTTCAGATGCAGGAAGCGACCAGGAGTAGCAATGATGATGTCGGGATTAGTGGTCATAGAGCTGAATTCTGTGCACATGTTAGTCTTGCCGTTGCTGCCAATTAAAGCTACTGTGTTGCACATACGTTCTTCGAGACTGTCACCACCAACAAGCAGGATAGTCCTTAGATCTGTGCCGCGTCCCAACTCTTTGACAACCTTGAGCGTCTGTAATGCGAGTTCTCGGGAGGGGGACATGATGATTCCCCGAGCGCCTACTTTGGCAGAATGCGCCTTGAGCTTCTGGATCATGGGTATGACGAAAGCAGCAGTCTTTCCAGAACCCGTCCTAGCCATACCCACGACGTCTTGTCCGTCCAGCATGAGCGGAACGGCCTTGCGCTGGATGGGAGTCGGTATCTTGAATCCCTTCTGCGTGATGGCTTTGAGAAGCGCCGCATTCAGGCCCATGGCCTGGAAACCTCCGCCCTTCTTCACGGACTTTCCTACATTGGACGCTTTGCGATTCGAAGCGGCCTGTTTCGCGGCAATGAAGGCTTCATCGTCGGATCCGTCGCCGTGTCCAACATCCAGATCTATTCCCAGATCTGCGTCCAAACCCGTCTCTTGCTGCACATCATCGCCGCCAGCGAGGGCATCGAATATGTCGAACTCGGTTTCGGAGAGCGCCGGCGAGCTCGCGCGGGGAGCCATGATGGGTAAGTCGGTGGTGGGACTCGGAGGCGACGTGATGCACTTTACCTGCCTGACGTCTAGAAGTCGCGCCTTCCTCTCTGCCTTTTGGAAAATTTCGGGCACGGTCCTCTCGAAATCTTGGCGGCAGGGATGGAGACGGCGCACCTAGCTGCTAGCTTCCACGTGCCCCGCGATGAGGCAGGCGCGTCCGACGCGTTTTGCCCACACCGAACTTCTGTCATCGCGTAACCCAATCCACGCCCACGAGATGAGTATGCATCCCCAGCTCTGGCCCCTCACATAAACCCACCAGCGCTAACTGCTGCAGGCTACAACGGTTACGAAACTTCGTACACATCCTACGGCGCCGGCGGCGGTGCTGGTGGAGGCGGCTTCATACCAGGAGAGGGCGGCAGTACACAGAGCCCGGGCGGTCGACAAGACCGTGCCCAAGACACCCTGCGCCCCGTCACCATCAAGCAGATACTGGATGCTCAACTTGAAGCCGGCAGCAATGACGCCTTCAAGATCGACGGCACAGTAGTCACCCAGGTATGTGTGCGGTGGTTCTGTGGCCAATCTGCCTCCGCTAACTACTTGGCCAGCTCACATTTGTCGGCCAAATACGCAACATATCCAACCAGACCACCAATACTACATACAGGCTCGATGACGGCACTGGCAGTATAGAAGTCAAGCAATGGGTCGATTCCGATGCCCAAGAACAGACCAACCCCACCAAAGCGAAACTCGTCGAAGGTGCTTACTGCAGAGCATGGGGTAAGCTGAAGAGCTTCAACGACCGAAGATCTGTCGGAGCGACAGTTATCCGACCCGTCGAAGACATGAACGAGGTTTCCTACCACCTACTCGAAGCGACCGCCGTACATCTATACTTCACTCGCGGACCTCCTGGCGGTGCGCAGGGCGGTGCGGCTGCTACCAACGGCGCCGGTGGACAGCAGCAAGCGGCCATGGGTGGCAGCTACGGCGGCTATGATCTCGGTGGCTACAACCAGACAGCGAAGAAGGTGTTCCAGTATCTGAGAGAAGCGCCGCAATCGAACGAGGGTCTGAACCAGCATGAGATTGCCGCGAAACTCGGTATCGACACAGCAGAGGTCGCAAGGGCTGGTGATGATCTGTTGTCAGGTGGTCTCATCTACACGACTGTTGACGACCAGACCTGGGCCATCCTTGAGGCAGATTAAGTCAAATGTCTATGGGCGCGTGGCCTCGAGTGGGGATGAGCAAACAGAACAAGAATAAACTATGCTGGTTTAGCGACATCAGCACGAGCGTAACGATTTATTATGATATTCCATCTGCTGCGTCGAAAGTGTTCGAGATTTCTGTTACTTGTCCGCTATCACTTTTCCGCGTTGGTTGAGAGGAACAATATGCACGTCGCAACAATGGCGCATGACACCACCGTGAAAACGACCTGCGTCTTCCAGCCCGTCTGCACCAATGCCCGCCGCTGACTATACCGTGAGATCGTATGAATATAATTCGACAATCCTGACAGCATGCATGCCATGGAAAGCAACCAAAAAATGATTCCCAACGGTAGTGCGAAACGCTTTTCTGCGAGAGTTTAGCACAACACTAAGTTACATACAAATTAGCCCGTGACTTACCAAGTGGTGTGGGTTCTGATTTGAGGTGGAACGAGAGGACGATGGCTACAGATACAATGGCCATATACACACTAAGCTTCAGCCAGGACAGAAATGCTGTAGATAACATTAGCCGTCAGATCTCCTGGCTTGTTCCGAGTCGACATACTTCGTTCATTCGCAGCATGGTCCCTTGCATCCGACGATACATTATCAAACAGCAGTACACCAAACCAAGGTCTCTCCCTAAAGGCCACTCGGTCATAATCATTGTTTCTACACAACATGTCAGATCGGAGTGAGAAAAATCCTAGATCGGGAATAAGTACTGTTTTACTAAGATGGGTTGGCTTCCGAAGATGTTGTAGAACGGTCGGTATGGTTCGGCTAGTATGGACTCATCTGCATCGCCCATGCGCGACGCGGGCCGGAAATCCATGTGTTCTTCTGGAACGCAGCAATTTGCTAGTATTCGCGATGAGGTTGTGCTTTGGTTAGTGTATGAAGATGCGTATAGGCGAATGAGGGTGTTTGGACGGTCAGCCGCACGGGCCCCATCATGAGGTCACTACTCGATTCGGACGCGCCTCCAAGGTTCCAAGGTTTGTTTGAGTTATCATCATCCACGCAATAATCATACATTGTACATCCACAAAAATGAGCAGGGAAAAGGAACTTGTACTTTTTGGCGGTGACAAGTAAGACGCATCGGCAATGCATTGTCTGGTTTAATGCTGACGAATTTGCATGCAGAGGCTGGAAAGCTTCGGATTGGACGGATAGTGATGACCGTGTAAGAGGAGGAGCATCTCAGGTAATCTCAACTTCCCAAACGAACTAGTCTCATTGCTAACATACTCGAACAAAGTCGTACCTCACCATTACTGGCTCATCAGCACGTTTCCATGGCAATCTTGACATCACCGCTCTCGGTGGTGCCGGCTTTGCTAGTCAACGCACTACTGGCGAGGACCGCACCTGGGACTTGTCTGCATACGACGGCGTCTATCTCAATATTGGGAAACATGATGGCAAAAAGTACACGCTGACTCTCAAAGACGAGATTCTGCCACTCATGCCAGATGGACGAGAACAATCAACCATCAGCTACGAGTACGACTTTGAATCGCAAAGCAAACTCGGTCTGTTCGTACCGTGGCATGCAATGAAGCCAACGTATCGCGGCAAAGAGAAGGACGATGCGAAGCCATTAGACACGAAGAATGTCAAGCGATTCAGCATCATGATGAGAAGGTAGAAATCTCCATTACAAAATCGTTCAACCGCAATACTTAACAATGGGCAGTTTCTTTGGCACTCAAGAAGGCGACTTCGATCTCACCATCAACTCGATCAAGGCGGTTGCACAACCAGACGACATCGAGAAGGGTATCATCGGTAGCGAGAAGGGCACGGGAGTAAGACTTTAACAAATTCAAAGTGCTAGCTGATAGCTAACGCCTAGCCAGGAGCAAGAGCCATGGTCTTGGAAGAATTCTAATCTCGTTGGGCTGGCAGTTATCCTGGGTTCGACATGGGCTATCTCATGGGGATATTGTTGGTGGAAAGGATATGATATGGGTATCATGAGGTTCGGAAGATGGTGGTCTGTCGTCAAGAACCCAACACTCTAGACAGGAAACACGCTGTTTGGTGCTTAGAATGTAGTCTTGGCAAGATGTCGGTTTGGTGGACGAAGCTACCATGTCCCCGATAAGGGCAATATATTTTGTCCGATGGTCATCCTTGTACCAAATCATGCCACGAGATGTCTTGGATGTGATCTTATCCCTTTGCATATCATCATCTGGTCTGCGTATAATACGTTATCTTACGCAACACTCCCAAAGTCTAGAGCAAGTCCGAATGCACAATAAATAGGAATCTGCGATTGTAAGAGGGCGGAACGTTACAGCCGAAAGGATCCGGTGCCTGGCGGCTGTAGGTAATGCAAGACTCTTGTCCGCCCCGACAACATCAACTTCACATAATGAATGCATTGCACTGATCGTATGGTCGGAAAATCCTGTACAGTGTTTGGCATCCTTCTTGCTTGTCGGTAATTTGTGCAGCGCTAGGACCTGTGTTCGTCAGCCCACATACTTGGAGGATTGCTTGGCTGTATGTTTCGTGAGATCGTTTTGAGTAAGCGTTCGTAAGCACATTTTGCGTGCACAACGACCAAGTACCAAAGAACCGCCCAAATCAACACGTCCTGCCGTCGACGGGAACGTTGAAGCTTGACGTTCATTGGCGCAGTGGGACAAGACGACGCAAGAAGCCTCCCGCGGACTTGGGATGCTTGACTCGGCTAGGGCGACCCGCACTCAGGGTGAGCTCGTTCACGTATCGCAGCAGTTGTCTCCACATCGCGATGGACGAGAGTCCCATCGACAACGCTGCAACGTTGTATGAAAATCACAATTGAGATCAATGGATGCAGCCTGATCTCATACCTGCAGTTCCTCCAAATTACAGCTGCTGTTGAGCATTTTCGCCGCTTCAGGCACCACATCTCCAATCACCAATTTCTCCGCTGCCAAGTCGCAGACCATGGCTAGACCTTGCCGATTTCGTCGATGATGGGCAAACCTCCGCTCGCGGAAATTCTTTAGGTACCGTCCAGGACCACAAGGTGGAGAGGCTGAGACGCTACGAGGCTGCATGAACATGGATTTTGATTGCAGCAACTGCAGTAGTGGCGGGCATGGGGAGAAGATGGGTGACGAGTACGGACGCAGCGCATTGCGTATAAAGAGCGACAGGAGTACAGCGCCAAATAGAGTATTCGCTGGTGTTTCAATTCGTCTCTCCAGGGTCCTCGATTTGTTTGTGATAATCCTACCTTGCTCATAATACCGTTTCGCAACCATGCATCTTCCGGCTCTTACCCTGGCTTTGGCTGGCACAGCACTTGCGGCGAAGAACACCACCAGGCCGTATTCGACATGGATGGCCTCTTCCTTTTTGTCCAAGAGCCAGCACATGGACAACCACTATGTCGCTTCGGTCATCCATGAAGGTATCCAGAAAGCCGCCACAACGCAAAACGACTCTTCTCTGCTTGCGTACGCTTCCGAAGCCGTCTCGTCGGTTGTTTCCTCCAACGGCACTATCAAGGGTTGGAACTCCACCTTCTACACACTGGACGACATCCGGGTTGGCAACAACATCCTTTACTTCTGGAACTCGGAGGGCCGTAAAGACGACAAGTACGTTGTTGCGGCTAAGGGTCTCCGTGAGCAGCTGGACCGATGGCCGCGCACCCCCACAGGCGGGTTCTGGCACAGGGCCCCTGTCTATGCGAACCAGATGTGGCTAGATGGTATTTACATGGCCGATACCTTCTATGCGACCTACACATCATACTTCGAGCCCGACAACACGACTGCGTGGAACGATATCGAGTTGCAATTCGATCTGATCGAGGAGCACTGCCGAAACACGACAACCAACCTCCTGTACCATGGCTACAGCGAAGACAAGTCGACTGTGTGGGCTGACCCTGAGACTGGTGCTTCACCATATGTGTGGGACCGTGCTCTGGGATGGTACTTTGTTGCGCTCGTTGAGGTGCTCGAAGTCTTCCCCAAGACACACGCTGGTTACTCCAAGCTCGTTGACTACTTTGTCACTCTGGCCTCTGGTATCAAGGACGTTCAAGATATCAGCGGCGGATGGTGGCTACTTATGGACCCGGAGCTTGCTGGAAAGGAGGGAAACTACATCGAGTCGAGTGCCACGGCCATGTTCACCTACGCATACATGAAGGGTGTCAGGCTGGGTTTGTTGGAGAAGTCGTACCAGGAGACAGCGTCCAAGGCGTGGGATCTGATGTTGGATGACTTCATCCAGTACGAGAAGAACGGCACCCTCAGCTTTACCGGCACGGTTACTGTAGGAAGTTTGAAGGGCGATGCGTCTTACGAGTACTACACTGGTGTTGAGACGCTGGTTAACGATGGTAAGGGTGCTGGTGCGTTCATGTACGCCGCCACCGAAATGGAGAAGGCTGGACTGGAGTAGACCGAGACAGCGGTTTTGGACAATTAATGTATATACTTTGAATCGAATCCCAAGTGGGAAATTTTCATGAAGTTGACTTAGACTTCCGAGTTGAGTAAACATTCATGTCTCCGTCCCGTTACCACGCGCCACGCTATCCTCATCAAGCCGGCGCGCGCCATGTCACTAATCGAGAAATCTGGCGAAGCACACCAACCACGTCACGTAGCAACACAGCCTCTACTCATATACCCAATCGTCGTTGTATCGTATGCCAGTTCCAATGGTGAGATTTCGCCCTGCCGCATTGTCGTGATTCGGCGAGCAGCTGCCGAAAGGTCCGTCATGGTTGCCAAAAATAATCCTTGGAAACGGGTCTCCTGAGCAACCATGTGGAGCTACGAGCCACGCCCCCGAGCAACCGTCACAGCCTCAGATCAACAGCTGGGCCATGAGCGACAGGCCCGCTGGCGTGATGGATCTTGCTGGAACTGTCGGTGACGTTGCGCTAAGTCGTGGCATTGCCTTTGCGGATATTTCTTGACCGTTGCGTCGTCCCTGCTATTGTGCTAGACAACTAACCTCCGACTACTTACTTACTTCGCAGTAGAAGAAAATATTACATAGTCGCTGTGCTACTAAACAAGTCTTGATCAAGGACGAATGTAAGACTCTCAACACAGGACATCCGATGCAATCCTAACCACAATACAGAAACCTCAGCCCGCAACAATGTCTTCCGCTGTATCATCTGCCGCCTCCCCCAGCGCAACAGGCGCCTCGTGCACCACGGCCGACTTTACACAATTTCCTACCCAAGATGTCTTCTGCGCCGTCGGCAGCACAACCGGCATCCCCTCCAACACATCCGACACGCTCTCGCAATGCTGCAAAGACGCTCCGGTCGAGGAGTTCAACGGTTCATGTGGATATTACTGTCTCGCCTACGACCAGACTGTTGCTGATCTCAATGCCTGTTTTATGGACAACGGTGTGAACCCCAGCCAGATCTTTTGTTCGGGAAACAACACTGCAAGCGCGACGGGCACACCAAGTGGAAGTGGAAGCGCGAGCCGGACGTCTGGTGGTAATGGACCTGATGCTACGGGCTCGCCAGGTAGCACTGGTGCTGCTGCACCCATGGGTGTAAGCAAGGCTGGCCTGGGCATGTTGGGTATGTTCGTCATCTCTGCTTTTGCAGGTGCGCTGTTGTAAAACACTACGATACTTTTTTACTTTTTATACTTAATGTCCCTCCATATTTGCTCCATCACTCACTCTGCACAATACGGTTTGTGGTTTCGTTGAAGATCGTTTTCGCTGCATATGCCTTGGATAGGGAATGTAGGGTACCTCGAACAGGATGGACATGTGCATGCCTTGGCTATTATGCAATACTCCCCCGATCGGCATCTCGGTATACCACCTTGCCTTGCAATTGGATTCTACCAACGTCCCGCATCCGGAAACAGCCAATGCATACTTCTTGCCTACCGATACAATGGTAGCACAATTTACCCCGCCTGACTTACATATGAAAAGAGCGCGCGCAGAACATATTGCTTGTTTTTCCTGACAGACAAGCCTGCGAACATATATGACACGATCCAAGTTCCGTTCATTCTGAAATATTGGTGACAATAAGCTGTCCCAAGAGCTATTTTGGACCATGGCTACTCTAGCTGCCTTAGTCATTGCCTCCGTAGTAGTCAGCCTATACTATCTCCTCAAGATAGGTCGCCGAGAAGCAGGACTACCACCTGGTATCTTCTAGATCACACCATGTATCGTTCCGATGCTAAACCTTCCAGGCCCACCGACCCTTCCTCTCCTCGGTAACCTGCTGTCTATACCGACAAAGAACGCACACTTCCAATTCACAACTTGGGGAAAACAATATGGCGGCATCTATAGCCTCAAACTCTTCCACACCACAGCGATCGTGCTCAGCGACCGCCGACTAGTCCGCGAGCTCATTGACAAGCGGGGTGCAACATACAACAGCAGACCACCTTTCTTCTTTGCCGAGCACTATATTGCCAGGGATCCAGCGAATATTCCCTTGGTCGTGTTCATGCCCTCGGGAGATAAATGGCGGCTTTGCAGAAAGTTATATGCACAGTGTTTCAACGAAGCGAAAGTTGAGAAGGAGCACGTTGGCATTGTGGAAGCTGAAAGTAGGCAGATGGTACATGACTTCTGGCACGAACCAGGAGGTTTTATGATGCATACTTTGCGATTCAGTAATAGCATCATTAAGAGTTTGGTTTATGGGACCAGGACTAGACATGCAGACGAACTTCAAGAGTATACAGTCATGTTCGAGAAGTACGTCGAATTGCTTGAGGTTGGTGCAATACCGCCGGTAGACTTATTACCTTGGTTGGTATACGTACCCCAGTGGATGTGGCGGGGACGGTGGAAGAATTGGAAGAATAAAGGGGATGAGAGTGGACAGGCTGTTAATTCCGTCTTTACGAAGATGGTAGAGCCGGTGCTGGAGAGGAGAAGGCGTGGGGTACGTGCAGGTTCTGTGTATGACTTCCTGCTGGATGAGGGAGAGAAGGGTATCAATCTGACGAGAAGAGATCTGGACACTCTTGCGGGCTCATTGATTGATGCTGGGAGTGATACGACGGCATCTGCTATACGGGTTTTCATACAGGCTATGATCAAGTATCCAGGTGTTCAAGAACGAGCTCATAGGCATGTTGATGAAGTGGTAGGAAGCAAAAGATCGCCGATTTGGAGCGATGTCGCGAAGCTACCGTATGTCGTTCAAATCATCAAGGAGGTGATGCGATGGAGGCCAGTAGCGAGCATCATGCCGCATCACAGTACCGCTGGTAAATCTCAGTCCACGCGCGATATATATCGATAATGGCTAAAGTGAAACAGATGACACCATCGACGGCTACTTCATACCTAAGAACGCGACTGTCCTCATAAACGTCTGGGACCTGAATCACTCACCAGCCGACGTCAATACTTGCGAGTCCCCAATGTCAGACTTCGATCCTGATCGATACGCAACTCGCATTCACGCCTCATCTCACTACGCAGCGTCCCCCGATATCGCTTCGCGGGACCACTATACCTACGGTGCTGGACGACGTATCTGTCCTGGTATGCATCTCGCCGAGCGCAGTCTCTTCATTGCTATTGCGAAGTTGCTCTGGGCTTTTGAATTCAAAGAGAAGCCTGGAAGGCCGGTAGATGTTGACCCCGAAACAGGATTCATGGATGGTATTGTGAGGACGCCAAAGAACTTCGAATGTGAGATTCGAGTTCGGCAGGAGCGACAAGAAATCCTTGAGAATGAATTTGCGGAGGTGAGGAATGTGTTGGGGAAATACGAGGTCTAAGGACAATGTGTGGTGTGTAAGAATTTGATGCTAACACAAATTCACTGGAAGGAAATCGGATTTGCTATTGAGTTCCTCAACTTACCTTGCAGTACGCACGTACAGCTACAACGATTGCTATCATGCGCTTCGAAACTGTCGCACTTACTTCTTGGTGATAGGGTACGGCTTCCAACTCTCTTTCTCGTACAGGACAGCACGATGCACCTGTAAGCTCATCGCGCCCGTAGCGGTCAAGAGCGTGCGTGATCGTTGCCTCTAGAGATAGAATGCTGTACAGGTACACCCAGCATGCACCTTCCACGCGAGCATTTCGCCTGCCTACTCGTACCTCACCTCATCATGAACAAAACTGGAGCGCAGTACCTACGTTCTTCATCCAACTTATTACCCAACAACTCGCCAACCACGGTGAACATACCTCCCATCCATCGCTAAGAATATCACAAGATGTCGCGTATTACCGACCGTTATCAACACATACGAGCGAAAACCATCATGGCACCACGTCGCTGGTCCAAAAGATTGTATCGTTACTGGAAGCCGGGACGCCCGTCTCCAGCATCGCCAGTTCCGCCACCAACGGCTACACTACCAACGGTTCTACCATCAACATCTCCAGCATCAACGGCTCCACCGTCATATATTACAGTACTGCAGCCTCAAGCAACTCCACATCCGTTACCAATTTATGCAGAATTCATGTCACCGCCTTACACTCCAGCGTCAACAATTACAGATACAATTGCTCCATCATTGAGGCCTCCATCACTGGCGTCTTCAGCATCCGTATATCCAGTACCAGAGTATTCAACACGGAGATCTCAATCTTCTACATCTCAGGCATCAGAGCATGCATGTTCGCAGTCTCAAGTATCGTCAGCTCAACCACCACGATCACCTACATCTCGATCGCCAGCTGCTCAATCACTGGCCGCTCAATCACTAACTGTTCAGGTATCAACGTCTGAATCATCAACATCTCTATCACCAACGTCGCAGTCACCAAGGTCACAAGGATCAACATCTCGCACAACGCCATCTCAGATACCGACTTCTCCAAACACCCCTTCCGCCTCTAATGTTGAGCCACCACCGAAGCAGGAGGAATCCGGGTCTCCGAACAGCAAATCTCATCCTCCGCAGACTCTGAAGGGGAAGTTGTTTGTTATATCCGGGGCAACATCAGACGTTGGACGTGCGACAGCTAAACTGCTGGTTGCAAGCGGAGCGAAGGTCTCCCTCGGGGACACCAAGCTAATAGAACTGGCGCAGCTTTCGAGTGAACTCGGACCGAATGCGGAATTCACAATGTTGGATGTTACAAACGAGAGAGCCGTAAAGCGCTGGCTAAGATATGCCCCTTCGAACTAGGGATTGGAGTTTATCGATGGTATGTGAACATCCTGGCCGTCTTGCAAGGCACGAATCTGCTTATGGAAGTCAACGTCCGGATATGTGCTTGGGCTGACGACGACGCAGGTGCAGTGAACCTTGCAGCTATCTCGGGCAACAAGGCCCTTGTAAAAGACCACGACCATGACAACTACAAGAAGGTCTTCGCAGTCAACGTTAAGGGCATGTTCTTGTGCATGGCCGCCGAGCTTCGCAGCATGCATCCCACAAGTAAAGGCGGACAAGGTGGATCGATTGTAAATGCAGCATCGACAGCAGGACTGGTCGGCAAAGAAGGCAGCTCAATCTATTGCGCGTCAAAACATGCCGTCATTGGACTTACGAAGGCTGCTGCAAGGGAGCAGTCCAAGACTGGCATTCGGATCAATGCTATCGCACCGTAAGTGATGCCTTCAGCCTATCTCAGGCACTGGTTCTCTTCCCACCACTTGTACTGTCGGAGCAGAGCCGGTCGTTGACACTATTTTAGAAGCTTTGGTGACACACCACACCTGGACGCCTTCGATATTGAGAACGGCTTCACACCCCCCAACAACGCCGTCCTCGGCCGCGTCCCCAGCCCTGAACAAGTCGCGAAAGTGATTCAATTCCTGCTTAGCAGCGACGCAAGCTTCGTGACTGGATCAGTGTGGCAGGTCGACGGCGGCGCATTGTGTTGAGTTGAGATAAGGAAAAAGAAAGTGCGGGGCGAACTGGTGTTGCAGAAGCGATGGTGGGTACACGTTCTCTGGGGTTAGTTTGAGGTTTGATGAGTGTGTGTGGAGCATACCGCATTGGGAAGACGACGATGTTTGACACGAAACAGGCTTATGTACTTGCCGAGCTGTCATGCGCTATCCTTCTCAGCCTTACAAAAAGAAATTCATCTCGTCGTTAAGCTTGATACACATGCCGGAGACCCGTACCAAAGCTGGAAGAATAGACCGTTATCAATGTAAACACGAGCCCCGCACGTATCATATACACTATTCTCGAAAGGAGGCAGCAATTTGTTTTACTTAGATATACAGGCGTGATGGTGAACTGATCTTTAGCTATAGGTTGCTTTTTGCATATCGATAGAAGAAGCGTCGATACTCGATGATGACATGATTGCAAGATGCACGTCGGTTGCGGATTGATGGCAGACACCGGTAGTGCCACTTCTTATGAGTTAAGTGCCGCTGCAAGACCCTTCTGAATCGGTAGCGATCGGCACCCCAGCCGTGCAGCTTGCGAATACGCGGCTCGGAAGACTGAGCGCCAACCATAGAGTTCGTAGATCACTCCTATTGGCGCACCTTAGGCACGCAAAGCTAGAAGGCAAAAACAAGGAAACGAGGAGCAGATCTCGGAAGACTATTTAGTGCACTGCTGGATATTTGTGGCTTGGAAAAGTGATGCACTGTTACTTCTTCTCGCCTTAGAGAAGTTGAAGGAGGGTTGGAGGAAGGTTGGACTAGTTAACGGATATCAATGCCGCGGTCCCAATCCTGATGTTGAGCGAAAGCGTTGACCCGACCCAAAGTTTGTGAACCAAAGTTGATGCCACCTTAGACACGGAAAACGTACCCGACAGGAGACAGTGCTCGATAAAATTTTGTCAGTAGCTATGGAGATCAAGAATTAGGATATCAAAATAACGGCAGGCAAAATCAGGTGACACGTAATTTCAAATGACTCGTGATAATTCATTTCATAAGCGCGAAACTCTAATTCACAGAAACTCTCCCCTGCCAATCACAGGCGCCATTATCTCCCCATCGACTTGAAAACCTTCTCCCGGCGAGGATCTGTGGGCAAGGCTTGTATAACGACCGAATCAAGCTCGCGATCGGATCCATTTGAGCCAATCCGATCGTGGTATTTCCACTCCGACTCCGTGCTTCGAATGGAAATCGCGTCACGGGAATTGGGCGTGTGAGTCCCCCGCACGCGATCTGCGAGGCTTTGGGATGCGGTGATGAACCAGGGGAGTCTGCCAGCGGGTTTGACTGGGTTTGTTTGTTAGTGACTGGTATCGTTGATGGGTGTGTAGTAGGAAAGTGCGCCGACGAAGCAGGGAAATGTGGTGAAACTTACTAGTCCAGTATTCGCGGTGATCTTCGTCTTCGGGAACGATGTAGCCGCCGGAGATAATCTTGGTCAAGTAAATCATGCCATTAAGTGCAGTGTAGACCATCAAACCCGCAATAAGACCGTAGGCCGCGCTGTATCCGAAGGGAATGAACATCACGGTTACGAAGGCTGGAATCGCATCGCCGATGTACCGCCAATTGATCGAGGAGATTTGTCGCATCATGAGGCAGCCAACCTATGTTTTTGTTAATGATGATGTCTTGAAGATTTGATAAAGAAAGGCTTACCAGGATCAATGTGCTTCCAGTAGCCCATGGCGGTATCGAAGCAAAGATAGGAGCGAAGAACATGGATATGAGAAAACAAACACCACAGGTCATGGCTGTTAATCCAGTTTTGCCACCTTCTGCAATCCCAGCACCGCTCTCGATGAAAGCCGTCACAGGTGAACAACCAAGGAGTGCACCCATGGAGATGCAAAAAGCGTCCGTGCAATAAGCAATCGTTGATCGTGGAAAATCTCCAGTCTCCGCGTCCACCACGCCGGAGAAACGTGCCATGGAATAAAGTGTAGCCGTGCAGTCGATGATGTCGACATAGAGGAAAGTGAATAGGGCGAGGGCGAAGTGGCCAGGTGCCCGGTTGACGTCCCAGTCCAGAGCGTTCAAAGTGCGATTGATGGGATGAAAGTCGACCACCTTCTTGAAGAATTCGAAGCGGTTGTCACCAACCTCGTTGTAAGGAAAGAATGTGACTGATGTACCTCGTGGCCATGAGATGATTGACACGAGTAGGATGGCCAGGATCATGGCACTCTTGACCTTATATGTCATCAAGTAAGCTGTCAAGATGCCCCCACCCATGATACCTAGCCACATCTGCGAGAGGTATTAGCAACGTCTTGTGAGGAAGTAATATAGGACATACAGTAGGAGAGGTCATCTTGTGGCTTGTACATGAGCCAAACTCATCCTTGTACTGATCTGGACATCCCGCTATGTCAAGTGGAGTACTCTTTGAGCCCGCAATTGCACCAATACCTGCATTGGCGCTCAGTCCAACCTCGGCGAGAAACAGCCCTATACCACACGCTGCAGCAATCTTAAGTGACACTGGTATGATCTTGACGAGCCATTGTCGCATGCCGATTAAAGATAGGAATATGAAGATGAAGCCTTCAGCAAAAACCGCAGTGAGTGCCAGATTATAGGAGATGAGACCGGTGCCATGGAAGCCGACAATCTGGTAGGCGAAGTACGCGTTGAGACCCATGCCTGGTGCGAGACAAACGGGCATGTTGGTGAAGAACCCAAAGAGAAACGAGCTGAAGCCGGCTACGGCCGCGGTTGCGGTGATGAGGTTGCGGTTCAAATCTGAGCTTGGGTCAGATAATTTACTGAGCATTTAGAAGGTCCTTACCCTGCTTGCAGATGAGGTACTCGGTGTTCGTCAAACATATAGGGTCTGTTGCATCGTTGCATACGCAGTTGCCTCCAGTGTCGGCAAGAATAGTGGCCTAGATTCATTAATATGTCGAACAATACACGACTTTAGAAGCTTTACATTGACTGCTATGATGTATGCCATTGTGAAGAAGGACGTAAGTCCTGCCCGCACTTCGGTAGTGAACTTCGTATGTAGGATCTCATCTTTCTGCGAAGACAGTCAGCCATATCCAATATCACCAATACCCTCGTTAAACATACATGCCCACAGCCGCCGAGACGAAATATCCTTCCGAAAGTTGACCGGCCGATGTACACATTGAGTGACTCGATTGAGGAACGGATGGACTCCATGATTACAGACGTAAAGATGGCCACCAGTCGAAGGTTTCAATGCTCGGTAGATAAAGAGGGAGGGATCTGCGACAGATAGCCCTGCGTCGACTATATTTGTGTCACGCACGTCCGGTAGAAGCAAACATGAACGATTCGGAACGAAAAGGTATATGGCATGGATCAATCGCAAATGCGATCGGTTATATTGGCGCCATAAGCAAAGTTCCTGCAGGAATGCTATAGGAAATATGAAGGGTAGGGCGAACTGTACTAAACAAAAGACACGCGCAAGGCGGAGTGGCATGTAGCGAAAGGGATGGGCGGGGAAGTCAAGGCTATGCATAGCGCGCAGCAGGGTAAAAAGCACGCCCTAAGAAGGTTTTGGACGGAGTGACGGCATGACCACTTGGGACCGCCGCATCATGCGTAGCACAAGTCAATGGTATGGCGGCAGGAGCGTTGTCGTGCAGCTGAAGCGGAGAATCTTGCAGCGTACTCGAGGGTGGGTGGTCTAGCCTCGTGCTATAGTGGCTTGACAGAAGCGAGTCAGGGGCTGACGAGTCTAGCTTGCGCTAGTCAGGTACATCCGATGTAGATCAGACTGAACCATGACTGGTCGGAATGTTGTCTTTGGTGCCCCTCCCGCATCTGCAGCAAAATGACGGGGCGACTAAAAGCCTTAGTAGAACCTTCTGCTCACCCTTGTGGATTCCTTCTGGCAAGATTGACAACAACTATACTCATCTGGTTTACAACTTATGCCGCCATGTCGGTTCAGCGGCCTTGCTGCTTGTTCTGTCCATGGTACCGGTGTTCCCGTTTGACCCTACAGTTCCGACCAGAATGGATCAGCTGTGATCACCATTCTAGTTGGGTTCGCAGTTTGTAGCGAATGCAAGTCAAGGTTGGCGGCATCATATCGGTTATTTCCCTTAGCAGCCGTCATTGCGAATGGTAGCCAGCCACAAGCGTTTCCTGCAGAACCTTGGGCGGAAAGACCGAGAACTGGAAAAGAGAGCCCGATAAGCTGGCCAGTCGCAACTGCTGTACAGCCCAACTGTTTGCTTTTTCGGGGAAGACCCAAATTGAGATGGGGTTGCTTTGCACGCTCACACCACGCGTAGCGGTATCTCTCTCCAACAGTATGGTTGACAACCGGAAAGCTCACGGTGCGCTGAGTGAATCTGCGCTGTGCATCGAAGCACAACAGAGTAGCGCTAGTGCATGTGTTCGGATCAGGGAAGCCCTGATAGTAGTCTGAAAAGGTCAATAACGCCACGGTCCGGGTGGTGCGACAGCGTTTCGATGCCGCGGAAACAAGGGACCGTTGCGTAACTCGCTTTACAGTTGCGACACGGTCCACCCAGGTGCTTGACTACTTTTCCGTTCAGAGGTGCGACTAGTCCTGAGGGTTTGATAGCCTTCAGGCGATCATTCGTTCCCACTCCTTGGATCATCGACTTATAGTGGCCCCGCTGCACCCCGCTAGACTCGCCACTGTAATCGAACATGTTCGCGACCGACTTACCACTGGACAAAGAGGCGGAATCCGTGGGTGCGCGGAGGGAACGAAAGACCAAGGAGCGATCCATTAGGTCAAACTCCATCAACACTTCGACTTCACGAACATCAATTAGTTCGACAAACTCGGGCTCTACCGATCGTGAGTTATGGTGGTCTTCGGGCCTGAAGAAGGCGAAGAGTATGAAACCAAAGATACTACGGCCATCAACTGGACGGACTACGGACTCACAGAGAACGGCAATTACTGTGACAACTGAAGTTGACTTGACCCGCACGCACAACCTCAAGGATCCCGAGCTGCAACCTGGCTGGACGTACACAAGTTCTCTTTCTGCAACACTTCCATCCGGAGATCCTATGCATCCACGTCAACATGAAGTACCAGAGCTGGAAGGTGATATGTCATCTCGAAATACGGGCTCCACCAGGTCGCGCATCTCGCGTAAGTGGTCTAACGTGAGCATGATGTGAATATGTGCTTATGACATGTGACAGATGACCGACAGCGCGAGGTGAAAACTCCTACTATGGTCGACAGCAGCGATGATGCGACGCAAGGAAGCCGCGTCAGTCCTAAGTCTTTTGTAACGAGCCGAACTCGTGCCAGTACAGCGAGCCCTGAAAATGAACATGCTATACCCATCTCAATGCCAGAAGCAAAGAGAGTTGACAGCGGGTGAGTCGTCTTCTTACAACTTCTGGGTTTATGCTTACTGTTCGTAGATGGCCCCAGCCCATGGAGACTGAAGCGACCGTCAAACTGGAAGCATTAGAACTGCGTGATAGCTTCCAGGAGGAGCAATCACATGAGGACGTGAGGCACATGGTCAAAGTGAATAGCGGCGCAAATTCGGAGGTCTCCTGCAAGCCTCTCTCGCAATGGCAGTGTCTCACTCCAAGAGGTGTACCTTCGGAGATGCAAATACAGTCGCGTCTGGCTCCTAAAAAGGTCACAGTCTCTCAAGGTACTACATCAGAGCTCAGTCGATTCCAACGCTTCATCCGCAGGATGGAAGGCGCTGGTCCAAAGGTTATCTTGGATCGACTTAAGGAAGACTGGCAATGGACTGCAGGCGGAGATGTTGATGAAGAGGTATGTAGTAATCCTGTAGATTTGTACCGAGTCCTGCTAATGGTTGAACAGTTGGTCCTCGAAAAACAGCTGTGGCTGTTGACGGGTTTCCAAATGCTGAACTTGGGTCGGGAACAGACCCTGCCGCAGCCCGAATGTAACACCGGGAGAATCCTTGAACTATATGGCAATCTCTGTAAGTGAATGTTGTGCCCTTGTGTCACGCTGCCGTGCAAGCTCTAACGGTCGACGCCAGCTGAGGTATACCAACTGTCGGCTATGCATCCGTCTCAAACAGTACACTTCCTTACCACCAAGCCCCCACGACCTGTTCAGTTGCCGGGCAATGTATCGTACTTGACGGTGCGCAAGCTCGGTGCCGTTCCACTGCCTTACCCAGAAGACTACTTCTCGCATATAAGAGCATCGACGTTGCCGTCGCTGGTCCCATCCGCCACGCTACCAGAACTGTTCAGCGAATGTCACAAGCTGCTCGCTCCTGGTGGCTTCCTAGAGATCAGGATCATGGATGCTGCCCCAGTACGCAAGACCACCGGCCCGCTGATGCGGATGTGGATTGAGGATAGGCTCTCTGTCAACTTGGAACGGGACTTCAGATGCTCGAAGCCATGTTCGCTAGTTCCAAGCTGGCTGACAGCTGCCGGATTCGAGATGCTTGTTCAAGAAGACGATCAGAGCATGACGCTACCATGTGCTATCGACCCCGATGCGGCCAATGTAAACGACGAGCTTTCAATGATTATCGGCCGAGCCTTCTGGAAAGACATCTGGGGCAGCTTTGTGGACGACGCTCAAGACGAACCGAAGTGGTGGTGGGAAGACGAAGAGATTGTGCAAGAGTGCGTAAAGCGCCAGACCTTGCTTGAGTGCAGGACAATCTTTGCATACAAGCGGTAAGAGCTAGAACTTGTGGCACAATGGTTGGTGCAATGTGTTGATAATGAAGACTCGACAAGATGGGATTGGCGTTGGCGTCGACATGGAGCGTCTGTACGATAGGATACCCGACGCGTATTGCTGTCACTACCGCCTACGATGATACCTCGTTTAGACTTGTAATTAGATAGCGATGCATTTGGTACGCCGCGCAAATGGATAGTGGGACTTGACCATCATGGATGTTTCGCTCGCCCAAATGCTAACCCCGCACTGCTTAGCGTTCTTGTCACGTGACACCGCGAATAAGGCCGTTCCTTGTCAAAGGATGGCAGGACCCATCATGCTCGTCATGATGCCACAGAGTTGCGCAAGCTGCAATCTGCCAACTGTAGCACTATGGCTTGAACTACGGTCGTCGGACTATTTCGACCCACCTCCCCGGACGTCAGATTAGGAGTCCGTGCCACAGCCTCCGTTTCAGATGCATGGTCCGCAACGCGTCGTGGCTACAAGATCAGCACTATGTCGGCACGACCGAAAGCTTTTCCGCACATCTTCTACACTCGACGGCGCTTTTGGCATGCCTCTCTCCTGAACTAATTAATCCGTCCCTCCAGCTCGTACCACATCTGCATAATCTGGCATAATTCCCACACGACACGGCCACGATCCTACACAACCTGGGAATCCTACACAATCATCGGCACACCTAGAACGGCTTCAGGGCGATCGGCATCCGAGCTACGGCCGCCGAACAATAATATCAGGAATTATGTTCAGTTCGCTAGGGACCAAGATAGCCCTCCGGAAGGCCGGATTAGGCAATGTCAAGCTCCCAAAGACCGACGACTTGTTTGGTAGTGGGAACACCAAGAAGGGGAGCACCAACGGCGCCGATGGAGGAGACACAGGCTTCGCCAACCCCTTCGCAAACGTACAATGGGGTGTACCAAAAGCCCTACAATCTTGGACAACGCCTCCACCGCCCCAGACCCCAGTGCGCAAGCCACCGAACATTGGAGATCGAGCACAAACACACACGAAGCTGCAATTTCCAACGGCCGACGGACGGCCGACTATACTGCTGTTCCTAAGGTTCTGCGGGTGTCCTTGTGAGTATTCATTTCCTCAGACGTTCTAGTCGGATGCAATGGCGGCAATGGCGGAAAGCATCTAATTCCTGCAAAAGTCTCCGAGAAACTCTTCCTCTCGCTCCGAACCCTCGCGAACCGCCATACTTCGATCCACTTCGTCGCAATCTCCCACTGCACACCCGCTGCAACCACAGAGTGGCTCAAGAAACTCGGTGGAGCCTGGAACGTAGATGTAGTAGTGGATCAAGACCGGGAACTATACGCGCTATGGGGTCTAGGCATAGCTACTTGGGGCCATGTGCTGCATCCTAGAAACGGGTACAATCAGGTCATGCTCCGGAAGAATGAGGGTGTCTGGGGACAACAGGTCGGAGAAGGAGCATGTCGATGGCAGATTGGCGGGGCATATGCAGTCGATGGGAGGGGCGTTGTTACATGGGGCTCACCGATGCAGTCAGTAGACGAGGCGATACCATTCGAACACGGCGTAATGTCACTTGGATATGGAGAGACGCATAGACTGGGACTGTGAAATTCCACAATGGATATTCAGGCGTTCGAAATTTCACAAGAGGGAATGTGGGGGTGAGAGATAAACATTCGTCAAGATGCGAAGGGTTCGCGTCTTTCTTGTATAGTACGTTCAGCGTTCAATCTTTCTGTTTCAGAGGAGCTTGCAGTCCGCAAGCTAACAGTGACAATCTGGGGCAGCCATGCTAAATTCTAACGGACTAGATACACAGCTTTCATTCTCTAAGCGAAGTCGCTTGCCTATTAAGGGAGAGTCTCATTCTCTCTTCAAGGCCTCGAGGACCGCCGCTCTGACCTCAGTCCATCTTTGCGAGTCTTCCTTTGTGGAAGCTACGCTTCGTGCTTGTTCAAGACCCCCATCCTGCTTGATCAATTCTTTCATCATTCGTTCGGAAAATATGTCTCTCCTCAACTTCTTCACATTCTCCACCGACTCGCGAAAATAGGTCAAATCCCACAGAATGCGAGGTGGCACTCCTGCAGTTAGCCAAAGCTGATTGGAAATCCACTCAAGCGTGACCTTCCGGTTGCGATTACATGGGGAACCCTTCATGTGTGGTTTGACTGATTTCCACAGCTCATCGATTAGAGCTATGCTTCTTGGATCCGGTTTGGGATACGAGAAGAGGATAGACTCGAGATTCGGCAGGACAGAGCAGATCTGTCGTAGGGAAACTTTGTCTGCCATTGACCAGGACCCGCGAATTGAGTCCTTAAGAGACTCTTCAGTTGGCAAAATCTGAATTTCGAGCTGGGTTATTCGATGTCTGATCTTCGATCTTCCGATGCTCGTGTATCGGTCTGCGTAATCTTTTGAGGTATCGCATGCGAAGTGATTTTGGGTCGATGCTAGCCCTGTAACCCTGCTGGCTTTGAGTAGGAGTACGTGCCGATCGAAGCAATGCTTGTCGACCTCGTCATGTAACTGTTTATTCGTACGCATTATCGCCAAATTCTCTGGTAACGACCTATCCGTTCTTGTATATTTTCGAGAGAACATAGGGATGTAGGCAAGATGCGGTATGAGACAATCGTATACTTGGAGACGAAGCTCATAGGGAAGCCGGAGAAACGGGAGAGGTTTGACTTGAGCATAGTTAGACTCATTCACGACTCTGAATAACGTGGTACCTACGTGTCTGCTCTGCGCTCGAGAAGATCTCTTCAAGTGAAGTGTCGCAAATGGCGTCCAACGCCAATAGTAAAGTCCTTACGTCGGAGAAAGTTGGACCGAATCTTGCAGCGGTTCTTTTAGAGCTATCTGAAGATCTGACGAGGCGAACATTGGTGAAGTGTCGTGAACCTAATACTTCAGTGTAAGCCCTGACATAAAGGTCAGGAATTTCGTCCGGTCGTTTCAGTCCCTTGGTACAGAAGTAGACTTCCTCCGAGCCTTGGATATGCGTGCAAGACGATGTTCCCTGGAGGATGACATCGAACTGTAGCTGTTTGTGACGATGAAACGGAGTTCGAGTCAACACGTTACTCAGTGCCTGTAGCTTCGCCTTGAGAAGCCCAGCCCGGGCTACCGTGTATGCGCCTGTGAACTCAGTCTTCTCTGCAGATAGGGTGTCCCTAGGTCCAGAGTCAGCATTGTTGATATCGCAATAATTGTTGATGGTCGCTGCTTACATTGCTTGTGTAAAGTCCAATGATAGCGGCGATCTGGCTGGATTGCAGATATTTTGGAGGACCTCGAGAAGAAGCGATTTTGAAGTTATATTACCTAGGTGTTTAGAAAGACCATGTTCAGGTCAGGGGCATTCACCAAGCATATAAGTTACGAAGCATCGAGCTAAGGGAGGCAGCAGCATCACACGGGCCGAATATACGAAAATATTTCCCAGTTGATACGAGGTCAAAAGTCAGACCCTACTCAGTACTTACGAGTTTAGTATAAGTAGTGGAGCTCAATACCAAGACTGGTGCCTGGCTAACATCAATAGAATCCGTCTAAGCGTGCCGGTGTAACGAAACGCTTTTTATTCCACTCTCAGATCATTTAGAGCGCGTTTAAGCTCGAATAGGCACAGTACACACGTATTCTGCAGCGCTTGTTCTCGTAGCAAGTCGATCTCTAATACCGAAAAGTGTGTTATTGACTATGCCGTCGCTCGTTCTGCTGGTGTGACTACATAGAGTGACCGCGCATAAGATGAGCTACTCTGACAACATAAGAACTCTAAAGTGACAGGGCTTATAGCTGCACGATTCAATAGATAGCTCTGCCGGATACCCAGGTTTGCTGAGCACTCTGCTGAGACCTTACTGAGTCCTCTATTGTAGTAAATCACAACCTACTTTAGCTTGGATCTGAAGTTTGTCAAACCAGGTGCGGTTGAGCTACCAGAACAGATGTTCAAAAGTGCGAATAGGTGCGGGATTCATGCTGGCGAGGTTCAGCGGCAGATACATTTAGGGTGATTTGGTGTCCTTATTCTTTCACTATCATGCTAGAAACTCATATAACCTGACTGTATCCTAACTTTCCGTTATAGAAAATCCTCTTCATGTTACTGATGTCCTGGAAAGCGCTGTTCGTTACAACAGACAGCACTATGAGCGCGACCTCGCAAAGGTCCTGAGGATTGCTTGAGCATTACCGCTTGTGCCACTACACAGTATTTCTCTCAGATACAGCGCATTTAAAGTGATTTTTACCGAGCACCAAATTCACACTGTAGAATATTGGAGACTTCCCCGAGTATCCAAAGTCGAGTGTGGAAACTTTCTCGGAGACATTCCAACACTGCGCTGACAGTACGGAGCCGGAGACTTTAGGTACTGATGGACAGCATGCGCGATGCGATTTGTTCTACTTGAAGCACCAAATAAGGCTGCATCTTTATGGTGGACATAGTCAAGACCGTACTTGGACCGGAGATTTTCTTGGGGATTTTCTCGCCGCATAAATCTGGTGCTTATAGTACCTATATTAGGCCAGCTGGACAAGCGACGAACGAAACATAAATTTCCACACACTCTCGAACTCTCAGATCACCTTGTCTCGCGCAAGACCTACCCGCTTCTCGAAAGATACATCAAAGACGCTATATAAGGTAGACATAACAAGATGGTGCTCCGAGTTCGACCCCAGATCTTCGACATACTCATTATCGGCTCAGGCCCAGCAGGGCTGAACGCCGCGCTCACCTGTGCAAGAACACGTAGTAAAGCTATTGTTTTCGACAACCAGCAGTACCGTAATGAAGGCGTTACACACATGCATACGGTAGCGTCTCGCGATCACTTCAACCCCCGAGAGTTCGGTCGCATCGCTCGCGAACAAGTCGAATCCCGTTACGATACCATTTGGTTTCAAGCTGCGACAATCACCCATGCGAAAAAGAAACAGGTGTCTGTACCTGATGAGAAGGGCTTGTATGATGGCTTCGAAGTCACAGATAGCGACGGTCACTCGTATGAGGGAAAGAAGATCATCCTAGCTACCGGTTCAAGAGATGTTTTCCCCGAAATCCAAGGCTATAAGGAAAACTGGCCAGCGCATATATACCAATGCTTAGCTTGCGATGGCTACGAGCAACGCGGAAGTGCAGTCGGCATCCTAGGTTTCGACAGCCCAATGTACACTCACTTTGTACAAATGGCCATCCCACTCGAACCCACTTCCATCACCATATTCAGCAACGGGCCCATCAAGCAGGAAGAACCAGTACAAGAGGCTATGAAACTCGCAAAGGCCTTCGGCGCAACGCTCGACGAGCGGAAAATCGTGCGCCTGGTAAACAACGGCCCGAGCCACACAGATGGCGTAACAATTCACTTCGAAACCGGCGAACCAGTCACCCTCGGTTTTATCGTTCACAAACCTGCTACAGTCAATCGTGCGCAACACCTCATCGAGCAACTTGGTGTCGACACTGTGGAACCAGCGATGGGTGGACATATCAAGATTGCAAACGCAATGTTCAACGAGACAAGCGTCACGGGCGTATTTGCTGCTGGCGACACCATGTTAATGATGAAGCAGGTTGCGATTGCTATGGCAGAAGGACTCAAAGCAGCGGCAGGCGCGGGAATGCAGATTGCGCAAGAAAAGGCCAAGAGTCTTTCCAAGACCTTTGAGGAGAGGGAGGGCACGGTTGAAGGAGAGAAGGATAAGGCAGAAGTGGCATCATATTAAAAAGAATCAATGGGTGGATTAAGGGAGCAAGGAAGCTGTTTTGAATGTCTACATGTATGATGTTTGAGCAGACGATAGGTTCGTGGAGGAGGGCACGACCATTGATTCCTGACACACAGTATGTAGTTTCCTTTGAGAATGTAGAACATCTTCTTCCAATATACTGCTATTACCATAGATACATATCACTGTCACCAACTTGGAAGCTGTGCTTCATACCTATCGCTGTACCAGTAGCAGGAGCGTTTGCAGCCAGCACATAATTCCTCGAATACTCTCGATATCCACGGCGCCTACCATATCTGCGACGTTCGCCACGCCACTACTCTTAAAGTTCACACCGTCACCTGTAGCTCTCCTCAACAACATAAAGTCTCCCAATTCGCTGGAACCGACCCCAGAATGTTCGTCGCACCATTCGCAGAGCTCAAAGCCCGAATCAATGGCCTGATCGTCAAGACTACTTCCATGTCCTCCTCATTATCTGAAACCTCTACATCCGCCAGAGATAATGCTCGTGACAAGCCGTCAACCCAACCGAGATATGCCATCAAGAAACCTTCCATGCGCCTGTTCCCTAAGACACAGGCTCCACTACCGACGGTCAACATTATGACAAAACACAGCCATACCTTCAACAGCTCAACAGCAACTGGACTGGACAAATTGGGACAGCTGCAGTTTGTAGAAGTATTGAAAAACTGGATCGTTGGTATGTGGTATCATCTATATATCGGAGCTCAGATCAGATGAAGAATACAGGATGGTGTCAATGGGAAGCAGATGAGCGGATGGCTAACATGGCATCGATGGACAGAAGTTGCGCCTTTCATCGCCACTACGAATTCCGACAAGAGCTCGTCTTACAAAGTCGTCTTCACTGCGAAAAGATCGAGTACGGAGAATACATCGGCCATTGCCTCAGTGGCTGCAACTTCTTTGTACATATCGAAACTTTTTGCTATCAGGCCAAATCTATGGGACAGTGATTGGACGCTTGTAGAGCAGAGCAGCAGAACCGATACCTTGATTGATGCAGTAGAAGATTTATGGGAGAGGGTCATGCATAGAGCGGATAGTTTAGCTGGTGAGTCTTGGTGTATCATGGTGAAAAGAGTCTGAGAGGTCATGTACTAACGATATCAATTTATTAGATGGAACGAAAGTCGGTGCGATGGTCGGTAAGAGGATGAGCGGAAACGAGAGGACAATGGCTAGGAAGAGTGCGGAGTGGTAGTCATGATCAGATGCAAGAGAATGGATACGTTGGGGATGGTAATAATTGTTCATAGTAGATGTGATCTGCGAAACAAGGCTTTTTGGCATATAAGTTACTTCCTTGCGATGGCGTATATGCTGAAGTATGAGATTATGTGTATATAGATTCAACGCATTCACGTAGCATACATACAATTAGCTCCTATCTACAATATCTATCTCTTGCTCAATATCTTCGACATCAATCTGACGTTCTTCCGACATCTTACTCCTCCTTCTTATGTATCCTTGGCAACCCGAGCCACAACACCAAAATTACGCCCAATAGCGCCAGAATAATCGGCTGCAGAACCTGTACACCATGCGCCTGCGCGATAGCTCCAACCGCAAAGGGGAAGATGGCAGCTCCACTCCCACCAAAAGCTGCCGCAAAACCAATCGCACCCACATGTAGATGGCGTGGTAGAAGCTTCGTAGCGGCGACAACGACAGCAGGGAATAATGGACCGAGGAAGAACCCTTGGAAGCTTACTGCAACGGCCGAGACGTAGAATTGGGGGACGAGCCAGAAGATAAGTTCGAGGGCCATTGTGATGGGTAGGTAGATCTGGTGCTTTGGATTAATATGAAGAAGAAACAACATAGGTGTGAAGAAGGAACTTACGGTAATAGCCAACTTTTCCCCTATCCTTGGCGTCACAAAGCCCAGCACAATCCTTCCCACAGTAATCCCCATCCAGAACCCAGTCGCTACCATTCCACTCGCAAAGTCCTCACCATCACGCACTTCGAGCATGAATTTGACTATCCAGCCACCAAGCGCAACTTCAATACCCACGTATCCGAGTAAGAAGAGTGCACAGAGCCATGTGACGCGTGCATGCGGGAGACGGAGGAGTGCCTCCTTCATCCGATTGTCTTTCGTACCACTGGTTCTTGGGTTGGCTGCACGGAATTTGTCACCGGTCTCGCGCCAGAAAGCTGCTGTCGAGGTCGCTAATTCGATGACTGCCATGGCAATCATGACATAGTAGAACGTGTACCAGGGCAGTCTGCTCCCTTTTGTGATCATGGTTGTTGCTATCAAGGGAGAAAGCACTGCACCTACACCGTAAAAGGCGTGTAGGAAACCCAGCACTTCGTTCGGATTCGCCATGTTACCCATCCAGGCATCTATTTAAAGTCAGTCAACCGTTTTCCTCTTACAACCTGTGGAGACAGGAAATGAGACAGATACTCACTCCATGCAGCATCAGCAAGACCATTACCAAAGCCAGCCAGCATGAAAATGACGACGAGCACCGGGTATGGAGGATGCACCGCGATAACCACATACGCGATTAGATGACACGTCGGTGCTATGACCGCAACACCTCTCTGGCCAAACTTGAGATGAATGGTGTTGTTCAACAATGCGGAAGCCGTGTAGCCGACAAGTGGAGATAAAAACACTAGCGATATGACGACGAAAGTGAGGCTATAGTACTCTTGCAACTTGAGTCGTTGTCAGCATGCACTCTCCACGCCCTCCTCTCAAAAGTACGACAAACTTACATAAGGTATCAAAGCTCCATACGCTGCATCATTGCTCCCCATAACGACGAAACTCCAGAACGCCGCCGAGGTCTTGAAGAAATTCGATCGAGGGTGGTTCCATTGCTCCAACTTGGCTGCTGATTGGGTCGTTGGGGACGGTAAATTTTCTATCGGGTCGCTTTCTTGGGCGCCTTTGGTATCTGAAAGTCGCAAGCCGCCCGTGTTACTCGAAGTGGCGATTTGGGCATTTTGAGGTTTAGAGATGTAATTTGAGACGTCTTGGAGTTCAATGGGCTGCTCGAGACAGGTCGATGAGGTGCCGTTCTGGAACGCCATTGTTGGGTTCTTGGGACGGTGGGAAGGGTTGACAGCCTGGTTGCCGCTTAGGACTTTTGAGGTGCGAGTGGTTGACGAAGGAAGCCTGAAGGCCGAGCTGGGAGGGAGGAGAGGTCTATGATAAGTAAGTCCAACGCTAGTGGACAGTATGAAAGTTTTGACGCGATTGGCGTAATACGAAGGTGAACCGTTCACACAGAGGCTATGACGTTTTACTCCTGCACGCTCAACAACCCTTCAACCAACAGCCGCGTGATGCGCAATAAAAACCACCCCTATAGGTCCCTTCAATCCTCCAGTGCTCGAGCTTAGGCTCATTGCCTCGCAAGGTTTACTCAAAGGAGCGGAACACTGCGAGAACACTGCATCCAGACATTTCCTAGCCTACACCGACGTTCTGTTAGCACTAGAAGAAGCATGCTCAAGGCGGGGAAGCGAAGGGTCTCCATATTATGTACGCAGCCAATCAGCACAAGGCAACCCTGAACTCGCAGTTCGCAAAAGGAAACGACCGGGAAATCTTCGGCAATGTGACTTTTCCGCCAGTAAACCGCCGCTAGCGAGATGCTGTATACGCTGTAGATATCATACTTGTGATTCTCGAAAGGCTAGCGATGGAAGACCTGAACAAATTTCGTTACGTCGCAAGTCTGCGTTCAACATACGTGTTCGAAGTTACTCATAGTGTGGCACCCTTTACACACGGAGCGCCACCATCCGACTGATCTCGCACCAAACCTAAAGTGTCGAAAAAATGCGAAGATGAAACCCATCTCGTTGGAGCCCCCAACACAGTCACAAGTCACTCTAGTCAAGTCACTCTACGTCGCAAGCTGCATGTCACTTGTATCACAAAGCCAATGTTTAGTCAACGCTTTGAAAATCGTTAATCGTTTTCATGTTCATGCTATACCTGCTATTATTACCTGAGCTGATTCGCGGAACCACGCTCGCCCGTCTCCTCCATGCTCGTACCACTCGTACCATGCTTAGGGTATCTCTCCCAACGTTTTACACAACAAGCCGTCTGAAAGGAAAAAAGAAACACGAAAGGAAAAAAATCGTTCTTGAGATCAACGCTTGTATTTCAACGACTGTGGGGAAAGGTAAATCGTCCATATACACATACTCGCTTTCTACAGTCGCGCATTTTGCTCCTGTGACGCTCTGCTCGCTCGCCCTGGTTGTTCAGCCCTTGTCTTTGGTGAAAAATTGAAATGGAAGACAATGTGAAATCGTCATGCTGGTGAAGGCATCTATGAGGGCTGGATAACGGAGGGACCGGCAAGGACCTCGGCGTCGGCAACGGACTCGCTCTTGGTGATCATCATGTAGACTTCACCCTGGAGGCCCTGGGGAACCATGCAGTTGCCGTCGGCGATCTTGGTAAACTGGTTGCCGCCACTGGAATATGTTAGAAGGTAAATCTCATAAGGGGGGTTGTGGTGTGACTTACGGTCCGACGAAAGCGCAGAAAGAGGCACCGGCTGGCTGAGCGGGGTCGGCAAGCTTCAGGTTCTGACCAACGGTAGCCTTTTCGGGGTTCTGAAGAGCGATGGCAGGGAAGGCTTGGATGTTGAGGTTGGATCCTTCGGGGCAGGACTTGATGAATTGAGCGGCCAGGGTGAAGACAGCGCGGGGCTGGAGAGCAGTGTCGAAAGCGGCAGGGACTGGCTCGGCGCCAGATGCGATACGGATGAATGCCTGGTGACGGGCCTCGACAGTGACGATGGAACCGGCAGCCGAGAGGATGTCGGAAGAGTTGACAAGGGGAGCGGCACCGAGGTAGGCAGAGACACCGACAGCCTCAAGAACACGGGCGGTCTTGACCATGGAGTCAGCGCTGGCAAGGGCGGCGTCGAAGTTGTATTGGCAAGGCTCGACGGGCTTTGCACCTGCTCCTGCGATGGCGGACTGCAGAGTAGTGACGTGAGTGGCCTCAGTCTGTCCAACACCCATCAAAGACTTGACCTGACCTTCACTCAGACCGAGAGCCATGAAGTCTGACATGGAAAACTTGGCGAAACCCTGCTTGTAGTATTCCGATTCGAGATGCTCGGCAGTCAAAGCGCTGTTTCCATTGTCAGACCCTGATTACTATGTTGAGGGAATTGGTACTACTCACAAGTTGAGGATGTCAACATCGCTCAATGTTGCTGCTGCCGCCGGTGCAGCAGCAGCAGGAGAGGCGGCCTCTCCTGCGGTTTCGGTAATGGCTGCCGCCGCGGGGGTAGCAGACGACATGACCATTGAGCTCGACTTGGAAGCCGACTCTTGACGGGCGTAGTTTGCGGGAGCGGCAGCCACGAGAGGCGCCAGGGCAACTAGGCCCTTGAGGATGGTTGATACGCTAGGCATGTTGAGTGGATTAGGTTTGTTGAATTGTTTTTTTGAGTAGACAAGTTCGTAAAGAAGGACCTCCAGCAAAGACTCGCTTTGAATTCGATTATTAAAAATTGTCTAAAGTCCAACCAGGGACTGAGAAGGTAAACCGTAAGGAATGTGGTTGATTATTAGGTAGGAAGGTAGAAGAGGCTCGCCGATGATCCAACTGAAAACGAGTATGGAAACAAGGTGGGCGGCCAATGGACCTTATACAAGCAGCTACGACTCCTAGGAGGTATCTGAGACGCCATAGTAAAATTCGGAGGACGGATGTTGAGCATGTGGCGGACAACTGGATCCCGCCGACGCACTGGCTTCCATACTGGATCCGTGACCCTACAAGCTTCAAAGCTTGGCAAATCGACCCATTGATCGTCCAGGAACTGCTCGCTAGTAGTGTTGCAACCGCTGAGCGCGTCCGGCATGTAGCGATGGGGCTCGTGGTGCAGGCGTGTGATGTAGCAGGTCCGGGGCCCTGCGACGCGAAACGGGAGTCATGAAACCCTACAAGTGCCAACGCGTGCGCGGAGACAGCAGAGCCGCCCTAGAGACAACCCGGGTACAGCGATAGTGCATGGCGATTAATGGCGGTATTCAGACTTTCCGTCCGGAACAGTGAAGTGGCTCACCACTTGAGGCTTGAAGCAGTCGTCTCCCTCATGTCGCTGGTGGGGTGTGTTTCCAGCAGTGACGACCTTGCGAAACGTTTCAACACCAAGTTTTAGACAGTATGCTGTAGCATAGTCATAGATATAAGGTCTCCCATAAGAATGTCGTGGGAGCGCTTACGCTCTGTGCCGAGAGAACTATAGATGGGTCGAGAGGTTAAGAGGGATGGATTAAGAGGTGGCTGAGGCACCCAAAACATCTTCACGTTGCCAAGCCTCATGGAGAACCACTGCTATTTCGGCAACGGTTCAGGCCTCAAGGCTCCCGTTCGCTACGATAAACACATGCAGGTACACAGACCGCCTCCTACAAGGGGTGGGAAGTCGCAGATCCGCTGGTGAAGATTCGGATTGCACCAGCCTGCGGCATCAGCCCAATGCCGTATGGCGGCAGCTTGTCACGGTCGGCCATGCGTGCAAACAAGGGCCGGGAGGCGGTCATCAAGGACCATGTTTCCATCGCAAACAGCCAATCCTCGTCAATGGATGAGTTTCTGATGTAGTAATCAAGATGTCAGTGATGCCTGACGCGGCTCATCTGGTCGCCTTGTGCGGCTTTCGAGCCGCCTTGCCCAGGCTTGAACGAGAATTGCGGAGTAGGTGTCAATGCGGACGGGTGTCAAAAGCAATCATAATGGACTTCGCCTGGCATGAGGCGCTCTTGTGGGGGGTCAACACATTACTGTACTACGAAAACTACTGTGTATAAGAGCTGCAACCATATATCGCGACTGTCGATACATTCGCCGCATGCACATGAACAATACACAGATTACCAATCGTCTCTTCCTGCACAACCTAGTATGTATCCTCCATTCAATTTTCTATACCAAGTCGACAGAAGCTACCGAAATGCTGGATGCCAATTCGGACCAAGCGAGACGATTCTTTTACAAAGCGTAGGGGTTGAGGGATCGGATGGTCAAGCAACTGCAAGATAGGTCAGTAGAGTTCAGAATCAAGTGAACAACTTTAACTTACGGAGGGCTCTTGGTCAGATCCGTCTTAAGGATAACTGGAACACGCGTCATCTCCCGCACATCCTGGATGTAGTCGCCATTCTGCTCGCGCAGGGTGAACCAGCTAAGGTACTTCTCCTTGTTGGTCAACTTGGTCTCCGCAGCATCACCAGCACTCTGTGCAATCTTCGAGTCTGAGTTGACACGGTGAGGAGCGCCGGCAAGATCACGGCGGGTGGGCGATGGAGGCATGCTCTGAGTCGGACGGTCGGAGTTGAGGGAAACACCGGCCATGTTCGAGTTCAGGTCGTTGGAGTCGGAGTCGTCGTCATCATCGTCGAACAACGCAGCCTCCTCGTTGGTCGACATGGCTCCAGTGTCAATCTGCCTGCGCTGAGCCTCTTCCTGCTCCCTCGCACGCTGCTTAGCAGCCTCGGCATCACGCGCTGCAGCCGCCGCATTGGCAGACCTGAGCGAGCCATGCTTTGGCCTCTCGTCTTCGGGGATGTAGTTGGACGATGGAACACCCTTCTCCCAGTAGAGCTCAAGGAGACGCTTGTTCTTGTCGAATTCAGCCTTCTTGAGGGGAAGCTGATCGCAGTGGACGCGCTTCTCGAAGCCCCACTCGGGGATAAGAACATCGAATGCGGACTCGTACACGCAAAGGACGATACCTTCGGCGATGAGATCACCGCCCCTCTCCTGCCTGACCTTGTCCATCTTGCGGCAAGCCTCGATATGAACGCTCTGCTCCTGGGCAGCATGAGCAGAGTCTTTCTTGGTGTTGCACATCTCTGCAGTCTTGGCAAGAGCCTCAATGTCTTCAGTGAACTCGATGGCACCGTTGGATAGGACAGCCTCCAGCTGGCGGTGCACGATGATGTCGGCATAGCGGCGAGATGGGTTGGTGAAGTGGGTGTAGAGGGGAAGGTTCAGAGCGTAGTGAGGGTATTGGTCCTCAGGCAGCCTGCCAGCAACGAAGTACTTG